TGCGCCGGGGTGCAAACAATTCGGGATTAAGGTGTTTGAAGAATGCTGCTCGCTCTTGCAACTAGGAACTACTAGTGACTCCACGAATCATTTAGCCCCGCGGGCGCAATTTCGCCCACGAGCTTTTGAAAAGTGCACTGCGCTGCGGCATATCAACTTCGAACGAGCGGAGTATGACCCCACTGACCCATACAGGTCCCTGCCCGAGTGTTGCTTCCTGGAGGCGGGGCTCGTCTCGCTCTCCCTGCCACCAGATTTTAACTGGATAGGGCCTGCAGCCTCCGAGCGTTGTCTGCAGCTTCAGTCAGTAGATCTTTCCCGAACCCAAGTTACGGAGATCTTGGGATCTACCTTTGCACATTGTTTGCACCTGCAACAACTGAGTCTCTCCAGTAAGTTGCGAAGAATTGAACAAGAAGCCTTCGCCAAGTGTACTGCACTGGAAGAGGTCTGCATCCCACCTACCTTGTTGTACATCGCTCGACGAGCCTTTGCGGGCTGTACGCAGCTTCGCATTTTTCACAAAACTGGTAAAAGCAGGACTTGGAGAGGAACTTATGCTCGGGCCAATGCTTTTGAGAATTGTCAACAATTGGACACGCAAGGACAGATGACAGATGGGTGGATGAATTCCATACTGAAATGCGTAGGGGTATTGAAATGTTAAGCTAAGCCAATCGCTCAGACTTGCACCCATGTGCTGGTCCTAATTTGACCAACGCCAGAGCCAGCAACTTTGTGGGTGCGCCAGCATACTGAGCGGCTAGCCAGTGCCCAGGCTGCCACCCTACTGGTAGTCCTGGATGAGTACAGATTGTACAGCCTGTACAGCACGAAGCACATAGGATAGCGGAGTTTCACTGTTTCACGTAGTACTATGCACGTTTCAATAAATGCTTCCAATGGCGCAGGAATTGGAAAGAAAGCACCAAGCACAAAGGACATGTGGTCGCAAGGTGCTCTGGGCACTTTGGAAATTTGAGCAACGAGATGAATACGCCCTGACCATCGCCTTGACTCGCCTTGGTTTTTGGAGAGATGCGAGAATTATGCCTTTCTGCAACTTCCCTTTGCAAAGCTGTTTGCGGATGTTGCCGTTGCATCCCGTGCTCTCCCCCCCCTTGGGGGGGAGGGTGTCGGGGTGTTAAGCTTGCCCTCAGCATGCGCTTTCGACATACGCTCTCGGTTCGTTGCGGCCTTGTCGGTATGGCTCCGCTGGGCTCATCCTTCGTTGACTTGTAGTTTTCGATTGATGATCCAGCGGTTTTCCTTGAGCTTACGCGCCGTCTTTCGTCCACCGTGCATAGAGTGACGGCCACCTCTTGCCTGCCAATGCTGTCTCTCTGCTGAAGCAACACGGGCGATGGTAGTGCCCCCCTTGTCGTTTCATGACAGTGGAGTGCGGTGGATCACACTGCTGAATTTCTTTCCTCGATCGTTGTGAATTGTGCACTATCCTGATGAAGATGAACTGAGTGAAAGGGATGAATTCATTGCCCCCTGACAGATATCAGTTTCACCAATCTCTGGCTCTCTCAGCCTCTCGAGAAGTGAACCTTGCCCTGGTTTGGTTGTTTTTGGTTTGTTTCTGTTTTGGTTTGGTGTTTGGTTTTTTTTGGGTTTGTTTGGTGTTTGGCTTCTGCCTTTTCTTGGTGGCCGGTTCACTTCTCCTTCTTTTACTAGCCCAAGGTGACTTGTGCATAACCTGCACACATAGCGCCTCGACACGTGCAAAAAAAAGAAGACGCTTTGCTTCAGCATGGTCCAAGTGCAATGCCCAGCACAGCGGTCTGATACCAGGCCGCTTTGCAACACTGAATGAAGAAGTGTGTACGATGACAAACGAAGAAGAACAGAGCTTGCACTGTCCAGCAGTACTGAGAGGCCTTTTTGCTTAATTCGCAGCCCCGGGTTTCACCCTACTCACTCTTTTTGGTCTACAGGACCCCTTTTGAGTTACATACGGCCTGGTTGCTTCGCGGTCGTGGTTTTTGTTTGTTTGTTTTGTGTTTGTTTGGTTTGTGTTTGGTTCGGGTTTTGTTGGTGGTTCTTTGCTTTCGCAACCTGGCTCGGAACTCTCTCTTAACTAGCACAAGATGACCTGTGCAATCTCTGCACACATGGCATCTCCACCCGTGCAAAAAATTCCTGATCTGTTCCTTTGTGGTTTTTTGTTGTGTTTTGTTTTGGTTTTTGTGTGTTTTGTTGGGGGGTTTTGTGTTTTGGTTTGTGTTTCGGTTCTTGTTGTTTGTTTCCCAGGAAGTCTTTAATCTCTACACCTTCGCATTCTGGCAGCCGCAAGCGTGCAAAAAAGAACCTAAGTGCAGGACGGTTGCTTGGGGTGTGTGGAGTTCTTCTGAGCTGTGTCAGTTTCACCAATTTTTTGCAGATGTTTCTTTTTGCGTTCGTGGTCAGGTCAATTGGGATGCTGCTTAGACTCCTCGAAGGTGTTGGTTCATGAGTTTGGGGGTGGTGCCTTGTCGTTTTGGAACACCCTGTTGAGTCCTCACATTTTTCGAGATGACTCATGACACATTCAGACATGTGACCGAGTTGTTGCCATTGCCCTGAAAAGACCGGAGTGCTGCAGGTGCCAATGCACGCTTGAGTTAATTCCGGCAGCAGCAAAGCATGCGCTCTGCGTTGTGAATGTCATTGCTCTCATCGAAAGGGTGGTTTTTGTCACAAATCAATCAAACAGTTCTTGCAAGTTGCTGTTCACCATTTTTTTAATGCGCTGCAGCCAGATTGTTGTTTTTTGGTTGTCAAAAAGCAAGATCAGCTGCTGATGATGATGTGGTCTTTAACAACCAGAAATGAACCAGGGTCCCGCAGTGTTGACACGGCTCGAGTGAACAAAGTTGAAGAACTCAGAGTCTTGCAAGCTGGCTGATATTCAAGAATTGAAGGAAACATTCTTTCCATTGAACACTTTTGCCCATAGTGAATGGAACAAAAAATACATTTGTTTTGCCTTCACCGATGTTACATTGATTTGACCACAACCAAGTCAGTACAAGTCTTTGCAGACAGGACGGACTTGCCCATTTTGGATCCATAGCGCAGAACCACGCAGTGCAGGAAAAAGGCCGGTGGTGGAGTTTTGCTGCAGAAGGATCACTTAGTGTCTTCACTTCAGCAAAAACAGGTTGACCCAACATGTTTTTATTTGGATGATTTTTCGTGCACAGTTTTTGGGACAGCAGCTCCACTTTTTTCATGTCTGGATTCCTTTCGATTTGCTGGCTCGTCCACAGGGGCGAAGTCTTGCGGCCGTACCGGTTGAACTGAACCTTGATGTACCAGTTCGGATTGGCAAAGGTGCACAAAAGCTTCAAAATTTTCAGAATTAGTGGAGAAGAATCAGTTCACAGAACCAGAAGCATCTTATTTGCACACCATTTGATCACAAGTGTGGGATGAAAAGATGACTTGGGTTGTGAATCGAACTGATCCATACGCTTAGGAACGGCCTACCAGTAAACAAGGATTGCAGCCGATGGGATGACCCATCTACAGAAGGGGTCTCATCAATCTCATCATTTTTTTGCAGCGCCTTCCCGAAGTTATTCATTGACACAGCATGTGCTCCTAGGTTTCTATTTTTTTTTGGACCGATATGTTCAGCAGTTGCTTGGATGATCAGTTGGATGGTTACAACCAACAGCCCCAGGAAATTGAGGAGTAAGTTTGACCCTGTACATACCACAGGGCTCTTGATTTTCCTCATGGTTTTGGGGGTCAAACTTCACCCCAAAAGAATGATGATTGAAAACGGACAACATACAGAAACGTATTAGAGTTTATCATTTGACTTTGATGAATCCCGATCATCGATGGCAAAGAAGGACATGGTTCTCGGATTGGATTCAGATACTGTCATTAATTCATCGGATTCTTATCTAGACATACAAGCCTTTTGACCGGTTTCTTTTGATGCTGTCCGATGAATCGACCTGTCCAAGACCAGTCCGCTTCAGGTCCTTCGCCCCAAAGCTGGGCGAGGCTTTGAGGCCGCTTCGGGGGAGAACACCGGACGGGCAGTGAGGCTTGGCTTTCGAGCCAGGCAGTTGGACAAGGTCGGCGTGGGAATGTCTCCGATTTCAAAAGTGAAACCCATTTTTTGTGCCACCGCATTTGTTTCCCTGAGCCGAGCGAACTCGATAGAGTAGTCTGGCCATGTCTGGCGGTTTTTGAGTCGAGCCAGAATGGAGGCCATAGGAACGGAATGTAAATGTCTTCAGTCCATAGTAAGCCATAGTAGCTATCCTCCTTGTTGCAAGCATCTTCAAGGGATTGGCGCCCTCAGACATGGAAGGAAGTTGCTTTCAAGTCTGAGTTCCAGGTCGGGACACTCTTTTGCGAGGGTGCTCCTTCTGATACTCGTAGGGTCTCATGGAGTTTTCAAACGCTGAGTCTGCTTGTTGATTCCAGTCAGGCCCATGGCCAGCCTCGGAATCCCAACCAACCTGTCTGATGCCCAGTCTGCGGGGTTCTGCTCTGTATATGAGTTGGCGTTTTCATGGTCTTGGTATGGGCTGTCTTTCTTGCGTCACTTTGCAGAGCTGCCAAGCCATTGAAAGTGTTGATTTTGGACGTGAGCGCCAGCATTTGATGACTTCGAGACCTTTGCCTTGATGATCTTTCTTGCTGGGTGTCGACTGTTTGGCGGCTTTTCGAGTGGGTCTGATTCAAGATTAGAGCGTATTGGAAGAACCATCAACAGGATTTGCCAGAACATATGTTTGCTATTCACAGCAGATAGGTACAACTTTCAAAGGTGGAGTTCTGAAGACACAACAAATGGCAATTTGTCCTTCTGCAAAGCAGCAATAATGCATGGTTTATCTTTGAGCTCCGTCTAGATAGTATCCTCTCGTACACCTCAGACACCGCACAAAGGGTTCTGAGTTTCTTCACACAGCCCACCCAGATGATATCCTTCAAGACAGATTTTCCTTATGCTCTCAGTGCCAGCTTTTCACGCTTCCCTCATCACCATGGAGCCTGAGCATTTGTTGAAGCTCCGCCAGCTGCTAGCACCCCAGGCGGGGACTCCTTTTTTGTGTTGGGTACTCGTAAATGGTAGACTCGGTAGACTGCAGCAGGTGTAGTGGTCACGGGGGCCTTCCACTGGATGCAGCACTCTTTCAGCCTTTTGAGCTTGTGCGAAGGCAGAGGCACCCAGATTGGCGAAGCGTAAAGCGAAGGAAGTGGACGAAGTTCAGGGTCCAGATTGGACCTCCCGATACTGCTACATGGCTAAGGGCGGCTGTGGAACTTTTTGGATCTGTAGATCAACCAGCAAGATTGATGTAGCAACGTGCCCAAAAGGCTACTTGGGGCTCCTGGCCTCGCTACTAGTAACAAGAAGCTACTAGGGGCTCCTGGCCGTACTACTAGGAGCAAGGACGCTACTAGTAGGTTTGGAGGTCGAGCGAGACCCACCGTCGTCGGCTTGCAGCCGCGACGCTTCCGGGTGCTGAGGCGTGGTGGATGCTGCCGCTCCGCTGGTGGCGCTGGACTCATTGGCAATCCCACTGCAGGCGCCGGTGGCGGAGGCGCTGAAAAAGAATGGCTTCGATCCACTCTTCCCCATCCAGGCAAGGAAGAGAAGACGGGAAATATTCCCATGCGGGGAACAATTATTCATAGATAAGAAGTTTCCATGGCAACATCATTCTTCAGACATTCAATGAATGCTGGCTGACTGAATGACATAAAATTAAAATCATCATTTCTGCCCTTCCAGTCTTTTTGACGTCCGTGTTTTTGCAAGGACCTTGACATTTGCAGCAAAGGATCATCAACTTATTGTACATACTGACATACTGCAGATCTCAATCTCCATGGCATCCGGACCCTCAGGAAAGGTCCATCCAGAGGGCCGTGTAGATAGAGGCATTCCATAGATTTGTCGACCACTGTAGATCTGTTGTCTTCTGTTCTCTTGGAGGCCATGGTGATTCCTTTACTGTCCAAGAGTGCCGAAGCAGCCGACGATGAGGATTCTGCATACTGCCCTTCAATTGAATGCCAAAGATAGGAAAACCACTGCTCCAAGCTTCTTCGGGAAGACCCCCAAAAGAGAGCCTATGCCAGTAGATTCCGAGGTTGCTAATTGCTTTCAGATTCAAGTGGCGCTGCCATTTAAAGACGACAATATGGTTGGGTTTGGGCCTTCTTTTGGTGCTTTCGAGCTCTGAGGCTGTGATGTTTGTGTGGCAGCTCCCACTGGACAAGGAAAGACATTGGCTTACGCGGTGCCGATTGTACAGGCACATGGCACGAAAGCAAATGCAAAGCTAACACTGGTAACCCAGAAACCCAAATGGCAGTTGGGTGTTTGCAAGTGAGAGGAAGACCTGACGAGGCCTCCGGAGTTGTTTGCGCATGGGACAGGTTGACTATGTTGGACAACTTGATACCCAAAGGCCCAACGGCTGTGTGGCTGTTTTCTTGCCTCAACATCTTCCCCAAACCGATTTCGCTTGCCTTCTGCGTAGACTTCCAAAGTGAAGTTTTGCTCCGTCTGAGATATGGCTTATGTGACGCCTACGAAGCTGTTTGCTGTAGTGTCCTTGGCTCTCTCCGGATCAGTGTGGGGTGGTAACAGTCGGTGCGACATCACGGTGAGTTTGCCCACACCGGATAACAACTCTTGCCTGGACTCATCAGTGGTACTGAGTTGGCTTCCAGCCAATGGTACTTTGTGCGGTGCCAACTTTGGCATCAACAGCGGTCTTACATTGGGCAACTTGGGGCTGCCTGGATTACATTTTACAGAGGTAAATTTGGACCTCCAAATCCCTGGACGCAGCGGAAGTGATTACTGGCTGGAAGGCGAAGACACAGGCTTGAGTTCTTGGAGTGGTTGTGGCAACCATCCAGGCTTGGTGAATGGCTCCTTCTATTGTGCCAACACTATAACCGCTCCGGTGGATCTCAACGAGTACTTAGGGAGTTGGGAAGTGCTGCAAGGATTGATGCCTGTGACGTGCTTGGCCTACAACTGGGAACTCCAAGCGATCTCTCTGTCCTTTGATCCTGAACTGTCCACGGAGTTTCTCTTGCCACTCTTCCCGGTGGTCTTCAAGCTATCAGGCTTCACCTTCGCTCCAAACTCTCAGGCGGCTTCAGCCGTGAAGGAAATGACAGGGCAGATGTAAGAGTCCCAGTATACTTTGCACGTCACAAGCTGGTAATATATACTGACCCTCTTAGATATCAAGTGAATTCCTCTCTGACATGAGTTTAGACATTAATTTGAACCCTCAGGGCCTTAGGGATCACTATTTTTTGGAAGGGTCGCTGACCAGATAAGCCTTTATTCCCTGTGAGGTGGCCCTGCTGGACTACATGGGTGCCGATCTACAGCTCAGGACAGGGGAATCCTTGACCACTCAGGTGGCGGTGGGAGGAGTTGTGGAGCTTGCCATTGGAATCCCCATCATCTTGGAGATCGTCCTACCCCTGGAGGGGGTCTTTGGGATGAATCTGGATTCCTCAGCTCAAGGTGAATTGGCCTCTGGTCACCAGGTCTTGGAAAGTATGGTGAAGGCAGATACCTCTGTGGCATCCAATTGGGCTGTGGTAATACAGACCTCCTTTCGTCCTGAGCTGGTCCTCTTGGGATTCACCTTCAACTTTCCGATATCTACAAAATCTCAGGTCCTTGTGAGGGCTGGGAGCTCCATCATACCCGACATGTACCTCAGTAGCATGTTGTATCATGCTACTTCACTGAGTGAACTGATGGGCGGGCTGCCAGACCTCGGACCGGTTTGTGACATGGATTTCCTGCCAAAGGAAGTGACTTCTCTGAGATTGACCCTGGTATTGGTATGTCTCAAACAGAATCACACTCCAAAAAGGATGATAGAGGAAAACACCCACGGCCAATACAGATCCCCTGGAAGGAGCTTTGAGACATACATACCCATCATATTTGTAGCTTTTGCCCATGCTAATTGCAGCTTCTTTGAACACCTTGAACAGATCTCTTTTTGTGCTGGGATACTTGGGTTGAGGTGACAGTAACTGAAAAGGTACATTACCATCTGAACAAGCAAGTTCGCGCAAAGGACCTATCTATATCAATATCTATATAATTCTTTATCAACTTATGGTCCTCAAAGATTTGTGGGAGTACTTCATGACTTTATGAGCAATACCCAGGTGAGGGAGAGCCCCTTCTGCCACGGGGACGAGAACATGGACACCATGGAGGATGATGCCGAGGTCGCTCTCTATTTCGCCTTGGAGGATGGTGTGGCGGTGATCGACTTGCGTGCATGGGGCATGTGGCTGGCCGTGAAGGCAGACTCTAATGCACAGTCCCCTCTGACATTATGCAAAGATGGCCAGTGTTCACAACCCTTTTGCGTTTGGGATAGTCAGTGTCCTGAAGGCTACCATTGCTGCAAGACCACCTTTGAGTTCACCTGCCAGAAGCAATACAGGCCCCAGCCGAAGAGAACTGTTTGTTTATTGCGATGTTTAAAGTCATTTTGCGATTCCCGAGATAAGTGATACCTGTGGGAAGCCAAAGCCTGCTGTATCGAAGTCCCCATGTTAAACTCTAAACATGGTTCTCTCTCTAAACATGTGGTAAATTCGAAACAATAAGCTACTAGGAACAAGTGCATCGCTACTAGTAACAAGTGCCTTACTAGTAGTAAGAAGAAGCTATTAGAAACAAGTGCCTTACTAGGAGCAAGAAGCTAGTAGGGGCTCCTGGCCTGACTAGTAACAATGTTTGCTATTATGGTTCCCTCTCTAAACATTCCGTCCTCAGGCACCAATCATTCCGTCCTCAGGCACCGTGTCCTTGGAAACGTTTTAACCTGTGCGGAGCTGCCTGCGATGCAAGCGGTCGATTTGGCCGTCGACCCTGGGAAGGGGAAGAACGAGGGCGAGAGCTGCACCTGGGATTCGGAGTGCGCCTTGAAGTTGCATTGCTGTTGGGAGATCGGAGATCCCTACTGCCGAAAGATCCAAGCTTTAGGATGCTTGGTGTGCACTTTTGCTTGCTGTGCAGTCCATGCTGAGGGAGTTTTTTGGGGATGACACACACACACACACTTATTGCGTTAAGACACGTGTTCTGGAGGTGACAGAAAGTTTCAAGCAGGAGTTTGTTATTGGATTAACAACCTTTGCGGTCATGCCTGAATATCTAAAATGCTTGGGCATGGCATGCAAGCTCAATCGCAATATAGCGGCTTCGCGCTGTATGGATCCTCGTTTTTTGCTGCAGTCAACTGTCCCAGAGGGTATTTTCAGGCATTTGAGAAATCTTGACGTGCTCAATCGATGGGCTGAACTCAATTCTTCATGTGTGTGAGAAACCAGTATCTCGAAATTGAGGAGGAGGCTTGCCATGCTCTTGTACATTGGCTGCTGTAGGAGCTTGCTATGACGAAGAAGCCTCCGCTGCCCCATATGACCTTGCTTTGATGCCATTGCTGATAGCAATGATGCTCATTAGGCAAGTTTGCCATTGAGGAGTGGCGAACCATTGGATTCTGAAAATGAGTCAAATTAGGTATTGAGCCTTTGCATAGACTAGGACCTTTGGCCCTTTGCCCTGCTGGCCGAGTCAAACTCCATCAGAAGTGGGCCCTGTCAGGCACAGTCAAAAATCCTGGGCAACAAGTGACAACAAAGCAGCAGTGCAACAGCGGGCACTTGTAAAGCTTCCTGATTTGGGGAAGTAAGTTATACCAACGGATCCCAACCCAAGGTTTGTGTTGTGCTCCGAAGGCTTTGCTAGATCGTCTCGTTTGCCGCGTCCGAGCTGTGGTGCTGTTGCCCACCAGAGATCTGGCGCTTCAGGTCGGGGTGCTTCGCGTCCAACCCATGGAGCGTCAACTCTGCAGTTCCTCAAACTTCGAAAGTTTCGAGATTCGATAGTTTCAAGATGTTGAGGTAGAATCCATTTGCAAGTTTTTTTTCCGATTCTTGCCTTTGGAATGTCTTGCTGACAGGTCTTCCGGGTCTTCCAGTCCTTGTGCAAAGCGTTGCCTTCATCCAAGCGGCCTCGCTTGCAGTGCGCCGTGGGCGCGCAGGTGCTGTGATTGTTCGAGTCAGTTCTTTGCGCATACCTTCCCCTCTAGGCTTGTTGAGCCACTGAAAAGACGTATATACTTCTTCATTCATCATTGCCATGCCTTGACTTCAAATACAACAGCAACAGCAGCAACAACAACAGCAGCAGTTCTCATGTTGGCCTCTGCCAGTGTTTTTGGCCAGGCGATGGCACAAGAGCAGCAGCTTCTCAAAACATCTCCGCCCGACATCTTGGTTTGTACTCCTGGACGCTTGGCCGAGCACTTCTTAGGACGAGGCTTGGAGCACTACTTCTTTTTCGTGGGACTGCAAAGGCAAACAGTGGGTAGAAGGTTGGGGTAAACCAAGCCTTTTGACGCAAAGAGCCTGTCTACTTTTTCAATTTTTCCGGACCCTTCATCAAGTGTCGGCAAACCTTCACCTTGGAATGACAGTTCATCCCAAACATGGGCTTTGCGGCAGGTGCGTGCCTGGACCTCAGCCGCCTTCGCTGGTTTGTGGTGGACGAAGCGGATCGGCTGCTGACGCAGAAGCTTGGCGGCACCCACCGGCATCCCCCACCATCGGCGGGTACATCGGAGTCCCAGGGATCCACTTAGAGTTGGTACAAGTTGATGGCAAAGGAAGGAGCCTCCAACCTAAGAGCAAAAGGAACCTAGTAGCAATGGCCTCCAACCTACTAGCGATGGCCTCCAATATCCCAGCGATCTGATCATCATTCAGTCTAAGTAGAAAGGGGTACAGGCCAACACCTAGTGGTGGAACATATAAGATCTTTTGTGGAACATACTTCAGACACCTGAAAACATGCAGTGGCAAAGAAATCAACAGATGGATGAGACTCAATGAGAACTTCTCCAAGTTGACGAACACATGGATGGTCACGGTCTCAGCACGAATTCGCTGGTCCCACCGTCGGGGTGGCTCTTTGGGCCTCAGGGCCTCAATCAGATGGTGAAACCGAACCTCATTCCGCGGTTTGGATCCTTCGATGGCTTTCAAAGATATAGCAGCCTCTTGACCCGACTCCTTTTGTTTGTCATCCAACCCTAATTGAGTTCCCTCCTTTCTCCAACCCTTTTGGTCCGTTGCACTCGGACTCGGGTGATTGGACCTGAGGACCTATCACCGTTGGTTGGAGGTCATGGATCGAGCGTGCTGCAAAGAGGTGCACGAGGGTCCAAGACCTCAGAAGCTGTACCATGGCGGCCATAGCGGGGCTGGGCTAGCGTACTTGGGGGATGTGGACATTTGGAGGGGCCTCAAAGGCGTACTCAGCAAGCTGATCCGGTGTTCGTGCATGAGTCTTGCTGGAGGCGTGGATATTTCAATGTGTAGGGTTCCATGACCTTGCGAATTTCTTCATCAGCTCGGAGAGAACGTGGGAGCCTCGTGTCTGGCAGGGAGGGTCGTTTGGGTGCTGAGGCTCTTTTCTGCCACCATGACCTGGGACCCAAGGAAGCTGGCGCAATTGAAACTACTGAGGCTGGAGTTCGATGCGGTTGGACGGGGTTGGGTGGGGTGGTTGAGGCAGGATCCCGCGAAGTCCGCATCGATGGGACTCGGGACCTCGGATTTTTGGACACGAGACTGTTGGAGGTGAAGAACCAGAGGACCTTGGTGGTTGGACCTCGGACCTTGCGGTGGGACCCAATGAGGATGCCTCCAGCAATGCACTCCTGCGGATGCCTTGCTTCTTTGAGGCCGCTGTACTTCTTCTCTTCTCGCACTGGGCAGTATGCAACCCCTGCGCAGCTGCAGCAGCACTATTTGCGATGCCCAGCCAATGCAAAGCCTTTAGCGGTCTTGTACCTTTTGGAGCCCTGGACATAAAGTGAGGGGGCCACAGTGAAGCCAAGAGGTTGCCACAGGTAGCCATGAGGAGGACTTTGGGCTTGAAGTCTATACTCTTGGTAAAGCATGAGCCGAACATGAGCATTGCTTATAGCTAAGTCACGAATCAATCTTTGGTTTTAGTTGAGTTTTAGGCTGGTGCTGAGCTGGTTGTAGCTGACCTAAGTGGTAACTTAGGCCAGTCCCCTGCAGGTGGTGAAGCTGGTGCTAAATGGTGAGTTAGCGAAGTCTTTGAGAGAGCAAAGCCACAGGACCATGCAAAAAGCAAATGACCAGAACCAGCATGAACAATTTTCAACTGGATAGACTACCTGATTTATCCTGAGAACGGTGTCAGGTGGTTTGAATTGATCCTCGTTCAGTTAATCAGCACACCTGGGATACGAAGCTGCCAAATCCCAAATCCTTTGATTTTCAGCCTGGACAAGAAGCGATGGCCATGGAGATTTCATGCACACAGTTGAATGGGCAAACTATGATTCTTCAAGCCACGCCCAGTATGACTGGCTGGGAACTCAAGCAACAGATTAAAGAGCGGCAGTGTTGGAAGGATGAGCTTACACGCAGAACAACCCGGGTAGACGTTGTAGTTGGAGACAGTCGCTTGCTGGACAATGACGAATCTGTTGCAGACGCAGGCATTTATCCAGATTCACATGTGGGAGTAATTTTCAAAGAAAACACCGTGAGATGTTACCACCAGTTTTGGCAGTTTGCCAGGTTTGGTCGCGACGTTGACACTCGATCTTGGGTTGCAGTGGAAATTCCAGGCGATGCAACTGGAATTGAACCAGGAGCTTTCCAGCATTGTGATATCTTGGCTAAGCTGAGCATCCCTGACTCAGTGACCGAAATTGGAGATGAAGCCTTTGCAGGATGCCATTCTTTGGCAAAATTAACCATCCCTGACTCAGTGAAACAGATTGGTACTAGAGCCTTTAGAAACTGCACCTCGCTAGCCGCTGTGACCATCCCGAACTCAGTTACCCACATTGGTGAGGGAGCTTTTGAGAGCTGCAGCTCTTTGACAAGTGTGACAATCCCTGAGTCAATGACCCGCATTGCCGAAGGTGCCTTCGAAAACTGTAGCTCTTTGGCAAGTGTGACCATCTCTGGTTTTGTGACCCACATCGGGGCTCGTGCCTTCAGAAACTGCACCTCTTTGGCAACCGTGATCATTCCAAATTCGGTGACCCACATTGGAGATGGTGCATTTGCAAGCTGCTGCCGTTTGGCAAGTGTGAGCATCCCTGACTCGATCAACCAAGTCGCCAAAGATGCCTTCCGAAATTGCAGCTCTTTAGGAGCCGTGACAATTCCCGAGTCAGTGACCCATATCCGGCCTGGCTGCTTTAAGGACTGCGCCTCCTTGGCAAGTGTGACGATGGCCAACTCAGTTACCCAGATTGGAATTTCTGCCTTTGAAAACTGCTGTTCTTTGGCAAGCCTCAGCATCCCTGACTCAGTGACCTGCATTGGGATTTTTGCCTTCCGGAACTGCAGCTCCTTGAAAAGCTTGACCATTTCCAGCTCAGTCATTGGGGATGGAGCCTTCGCCACCTGCAGCTCTTTAGCCGAGGTGACCATCAACATGTCAGTGACCGACATTGGAAATGGAGCCTTTAAGGACTGCAGTTCATTGGCCAGTTTGATGGTTCCTGCCTCAGTGACGCAGATTGCGGGCAGTGCCTTCCGAAACTGCAGCTCTTTGGCCAGTGTGACCATGTCTGCCTCGCTGACCCAGATTGGGGCTCACGCCTTTGCAAACTGCATCTCCTTGGAAAACCTGACGATTCCCGACTCCGTCCTTCGAATTTGTGATGGTGCCTTCATGAACTGCACCTCTCTGGAGAGCTTGGTTATCCCTGACTCAGTCAGGGACGTTGGCGCCAACGTTTTCTTAGACTGTAACCGTTTGGTGTTGACGGTGTCACTTTCAGAATCTAGATCTAGCTCCACCATGGAAGCCTTCAAAGGCTGTAGGAAGGTCGTTGTGCACAAGTACGGCTGGTTTCCAAGTTGCTGGGGTTGTGTTCGAAAGTGGCTATTTGTGCATCTTGGTCGCCCTGTGCGTTCCTGAATCATCTAAACTGAAGACTGGCAGTGACTGCGAAATAAGTACCGGCACATGGATGAATTTCTGCTGGCTTCACCTGTTCAAAGACAGCCTAAGCTGCTGACTCTGACTGCTTGGTATTGAAAAGATGAAAAGGCAGTTTAGCTGCTGAGTGGTCGTGAAGCTGGAGGGAAGGACACAACCAGTCCCTTTCACAAGTGCACCAGCCCCCCATCCATTCAACCCTGCAGATTCCTGTTGACCAGCTGGGATCTCTTTAGGCTCCATGAAACAAGCTCATCACTTTGAATGACTCAACGGATGCTTTTTTGTTCTGGTCCATTCTGAGTTTGCTGACAACCCTGGGATTTGCCTTTAGAAGGTTTACTTCAGGTTCACCTGTTGAATGGACAGTTTTGCTTTCGGGTCCTTTTCAGCAGCCCATGGCTCCAAATGGCTCGGTATGCTTCACTTGACCCACTTTTGGACGCAGTTCCGGTTCCTCCCTTCCTTCGTCTCAGGAATACGTGCTGAAAAAGGTAGAAGCTGAACATGCGAAGGCGGAGCGGATCGTGCTTCGCGGGGAGCTGGAGTCTGAGAACGGGCCAAAGCTTTCAGGTTTTCATTGCATACTTCAGTGAAAGGTTTAGAACCTTGAGCTTAACTCAATCTTGCATTGCCTCATGTTTTCTCTGCTCCGGAGGTGCTTGTCTTCTGCCAGTCAGTCAACACTGCACACCGCCTTGCACGATTACTGCAGATTGCTTGTGCCTTGCGCGGGAAGTACCGAGCAAAGCTTGGAGAAGAGGCAGAGGAAGAGGAAGAACGGACGGATGATGAACTGGTGCAGGCGGGCCACTGCGGCCTTCGAGTTGGGAGACTCTGCGCAAGAACTAGCATGAATCAAGTGGGTACTAAGGAGGTATGTAACATATTGTAACATGTTTTTTAACATGACTATCATCTCATCAATTACAATTGATCAATTATACAGTTATTATCAGTTATTTAATTATCATTTGGTTATACAATATTACCAACTAATCAGCTTGTTATATTTTTCCTTTACTTCTTTCTCTGAGTAGCTTCTGTTGGCTACAGTAGATGATCCGATTCTTCACATCATTGCCTTCGGTTGCCAGGTGCCGCAGGCAAAGGGTTCACCTGAAGCCCTGGGGCCCGGCACAGTGGCGGAGTTCTCCTCCAGCCTGACGCAGAAGGAGCGCGGGAAGCTGCTGAAGCAATTCAGCTCTGGGAAGGTGATGTGCTTGATTTGTGTGGAACTCAGTTTGACAAATCGATCTGTTCCTGGATTCGATGCCGTGCTGACAAGATGTTCCCTCCAGGTTCAGATGTGGTGGCCCGTGGCATCGACATCCCGGAGGTGACGGCGGTGGTGAACTACACGGCTCCTGCACACCTCCAAACCTACATCCACCGTGTGGGGCGGACAGCTCGAGCTGGGAAGGCCGGGGGAGTTGGAAGCTGTGCTCTTTTTTGACCATGAGGGTGTTCTTGGGCTACGATGTTGGGGATCTTAGGATCTTGGGACTCTCGCTTCTGAGTTTCACTTACTCGCTCTTTCTCTTCTTGGATTTGCGGGGTGTGGTGTTGTTTTCGTTTTCGGATCAATCCATCCGGATGTGTGCAGATTTTGTGACCGGGAGGTGTCTTGCGGGAGGTCAGCAACTGGCCGTAGCCATGTCTAACTTCAAAGTGGATCACACACCATCTACCTTCTCTCTGGATACAATGATCTTTGACGAACCATATGACAGTCTGAAAGAGAAAGTCAGCACGAAAATCAGGTTATTTAGGTTTAGATGAGAGATTTTCCATACCACACAGAGGAGAAACAAACCCCTGTGTCATAGACCCAGATCCCTCAAGAACTGACAAGATTAATACAACTCTTAAAACAAGTGGTTTGCGGGTCCCCACATGAACTGAGACCCGTCTGTTTGAAAAACTGAGTGGGACGAACATGGGCACCCGAGTCCCAAACCCAATTGGTCTTGACGAGGCCAATCCGTTCACTTCCCAGCTACATTGTTTCTACTAGCTTCTTGTTACTACTAGTAAGGCACTTGTTACTAGTAGCGATGCACTTGTTCCTAGTAGCTTCTGTCCACAAAGATCGACAGCCTCGCTTTTGTCGCTCAGGTGGGACACACCTTCACCTTTGTGACCCGCGGCGACATGGATCGTTTCGAGAAGATGCTTCGGGAGAGCGCAGACTGCTGGGAGCGCATCAGCCGCTCGGACAGACCTTTTTTGAAACGCGGTGGGTGAAGCTCTGATGAATGATCAGTGACTGGATTTGATGAATTACCGAGAGGAGCCCCAAGTCCTAATCAGCAAGGTCCATGATTGGCAGTGCTGATCTGACAAAGAGATCGCAATTGCCTACTTTTGACCTAGGCAAGTTCCCCATCCCCAAGGAGGCGCGCAGCCGAAAGAAGGCGTGGTGGACCCCTGCCCTGGAGGCCTTACAGAGGCGGGCGCCTCGGGGAAGAATTAGAGTGTAGAAGTAATTCTCTGATTTTGGACCAAGCAAACCACAATGATTGGTAGCTTAGAGATCTCGGTCAATGCGTCGGTGGTAGTTGTGCTTGTGTACAGGAAAGCATAATTGGTTGGTGACCTATGCAAGCTCAAACCATGTCCATGTCTCCCCTCCCTTCCGGTCCAGACTTTGCTGTGTGTTTGTGTGATTGATTTTGTGTTGGGTCTTCTTGGAGATCACCTGCTTTCACTTCAGTGCAGGTGCTTGGACCTGGAATCCAAGGGCCATTTGAGCCCCGTAAAGCCTCTGGCCATGGATAATTTGCTGACTTCGGCTTTGCCGACGGCGAAGCCCCCGAAGCCACGCGGCGTTCGGGCCGCGCCGGTGGAGCTGGTGGAGGAGAAGGAAGTGAAGGAGAAGCGAGTGAAGGAGAAGGAAGAGAAGTCGATGTTGGACTTCTTGAAAGATGGATGGGGCACTTGAAGGGCAGTTGGAGACATGACGAGACATGTGCCTGATTGGAGACATCATGGTCCGTGAACATCGAGGATCCAATGCATCAAGGCGCTTCCCGAACCATTTTCAGCGACCTGCAAACGACCTGCAATGCTGCACGGTGTACTCAACGCAGAGATCCAAAAAGTGGAGGTGCACTTTGGGAAGAAAGAGGTCAAAAGAGAAGAAAGATACCTTCTCCCCCAAAATGGACGAGGATCTTTTTGCTGAAAGAAAGTAGCTCCGCATTCCACCTGGATGATGATCGCTGTCGGCTTCTGGTGAAAAGGAGCGAGAGTGACATTTTGGAAAGCTGATGAGCTTCGCTGGTTTCAGAAGGAAGTCACGTCTTGATAAGTGAAAATTACGATGCTAGTATTGCTAGTCATGAGGCTCATGTGATGGCCTCCAACCTAGAAGCAATGGCCTCCAACCTAAGCGCGATGGCCTCCAACCTAAGTGCGACGGCCTCCAACCCAATAGCAATGGCCTCCCACCTACTGTAAGAGGAACGGCCGATGGCCTCCAACCTAGTAGCGAGACAATCATGAGAATGCTTTGTTTGCCCAAGGACTCAACATATGAGCTCGTTGAACCAAATGATCCAGGCCGGAAAAGCTGACTGAATGACCTAATTCAGACAGGTTCCGTGTGTGACCATCAGCTTCTATTCTGTCCTTGAGGCAGTGTCTCCCCTTCATGTAATTTCATTTCTCTCGCTTGTGATCAAATCCTTCACATTGAATATTGGTTTGGTGTGTAGCCCATCAACTTAGAGACCCTGGTCAAGGTGAACAAGAGTAAAAAGACTGAATCCCTGGATGGGGTCTATCTCTTGCCAGAGAGAAATGATGGATGTGACTCTCAACAGAGAACTCCCCCAAACAGCTAGGGTTCTGTGGGTGAGGCGAACCTTTTCGGCGCATTTTTCGGTCCACATCCGCCTTCGGAGGCGCAAGAGCGCTTGCAGTCCCTGGTCAATGGCCTTGTCAACCCGCACGATGCGACCATCGCTGATGAGGATTGGCCAATGGAAGCCTCATCCTAAAACCGTTTTTTTCCCATGCAATGCGCGAGACGAAGCTCATTTGTTTGGTCTGAAAGTGGAAATTCTTCCTGTTGCTTTTGGTCGCTTCCTTCGTGGGTCGATCGGGTCGATCTTGGCCTCCCAAACCGGGGCCGGCTCGCTTGAGCGAGGAGCGGCGGAGACGAGAGCAGGAGCAGCAGAGGGCAGAGGTGCGGAGAGCTCGGACGGTGCCTCTGAAATCAGGAGAGAGAGGTTTGCCTATATCATCTATATCTACCCACGTGAATACCACACATTCCCTCTCCGAGCTGTCCGCTGGTGCCGTGAAGCGTGGTGCCATTTTTTCGCTGATTTCAAAATGCCCTAACCAATTTTTGTTCAATTGTCCAATGCCCCATTGAATGGAACAAGCCACGAGTCCTGACCAAGACCCCCCAGCTTACTTTCCCCTGTATTTTATAGCTGTTTTCGCCTTTGACGGAAGCTTTTTTTTGTACCCCAAACTCAAAAAAACAATCATGCCGATGTGCCGTCCAGTTCCCTCGAAGGAAATGCACCGCTGGCAGGGTGTGAGGGCTTTGAGCCTGCCTTGGGCCAACCCGCCTCCTGCGTAATACAGCGGGAGGCGGATGACAGCAGGACGCGGACGATGGGCTAATCTGCCTGCTGGGGCAACTTGAGCGGTATTGCGCCAATGGGCTCAATGGTGGGGAGGCCGCATGCCTGCTGTTCTGATGTGCCATTTCGACATGCAGGCGCGATGACATCGCTGTTCGCTTCAATTCCAAAAGCCGCTCTTCTACGCGAGGGGAGCTGCAGCTCTTCTGGCTTTTGCTACCGGTGACTGATGGCTCCGGGCGCCTGTCTGGTGGTCTTGATGATGCCGCTGTTGGAGACCGGCCCTGGCACAGGAGGCAGGTGACATGGTGACATGGGTCCAGCCGATGGAGATGCCACTGTAAGTATGGTGGTGTCCTTGGACGGTTGGAACCATCTAATTTTTTCCGGTAGTGGAATGAGTCTCAATCTTGGACGGAGCCATCGCGCCTCTCAAAGCCTGTTGTTATGGCCGTGCTGCGCTTAGACTTTGTGGCTGGCCAACAATTCAGTCAGACGGAAATTGGGCTTGCACAGCAAAGTGCGTTTCACAGAATCGGCTGGTTGCTCATCCACATGCAAAGGCTTCTTCACGTACAGGAGAAAAAGTTATGTTGGTGTCATTGGAAGCAACTCAAGCCCCTTCCCCTTCCAGAGAAACATGTCTGCAAACCTTTGACACTCTGAACCAGTCCACCCCACTCTGATGCCAACCTGAGTCCAGTCCACCAGATTTGTGACATTCGCTGCATTCATGGCTTGGCAGTTGGCAAGCCAGTGAGACACGCCTGGCGGAGGGCTGGTGGGGTGTCAATCTGTGTGTCTCTGGTGAACTCACTACATGCTAAAACTCTGAAGGCGGCTGGTCAGTCATCCATGCACATCTGCTTGTGAAACAACAGGCGGAAGCTCTAAAGTGAAGGTTTGTGCCGAAGCCAAGTTGAACTTGGCGATGCCGGATAATATGGAAGGCATCTTGTAGACAAGCTGTTTGATTTGGAGCTTCTTGTCAGAGCGTTGTACCTTCAAGTCACAAACCTGACTGGGATTTTTTACAGAGCATTGCAAACGCGCGAGCACGTCCGCCATTGTACCACCAGCTGCTAACTAAGAAGTCTGTGTTATCTTGAAAGTTGGCTTGGGCGAATTGCTACACGAAATTTGTGCTGGTCACGCCAGATTCTGGCATCGAAGTGGCAAGTGATATTGAGCTGGGGGGTTTTAAGGAAACGACTGCTTGCAAGCTGCTGCGACCTTGACTTAATCTCTAATGACACAAGGACACCAGTGTGGGGCATGTGCAGGGCAGGAGGCATCTACTTGGCCCCAGCGCAGAGATACTGTGCAATGTGGGGTGCAAGTTTGAGAAGAAAACAGGCAAGAACAGCCCGCCGATACCATGAAAATAAATAAGTGCGCTCAGCGGCTCAGTCGAATCTAGACGCACGCGGCCCAGCGGTTGAGTGTGGTGTTGTCTTCTCCTGCAAATGCACTGCCTTAGCCATTTCATGCGGCGCTGCGTGTCAAATGCACGCAGGGTGGATAATTCAGAAACAGGGAGTCCAATGTCTGCCGGGGTAAGCACCACATGGCCTGAAACTCAAAAAATCAATATATAATATATAGCCTGGAAACCAAATACCTAAGGGGGGCCTTGGTCGGGACGCTCCCAAATAGACAAGGGCACCCTTTGCATGAGTGGCAGGCTTGAAGACCTTGCCGTGTTTCAGCTCCGTCCTTTTTGATGTCCGACTTTGATTGACTCTTATGGGTCACGGGCTCTCGCTTTCCTGCTGTGCCACTCCCGCAAAGCCGGGGGGTTAAGAAGATGTTTGGTGTCGCCACACAAATTTGTTTACTGTTGTGTTGGTGGTCCAAGGCTGAGGCATCGCAGAAGTTGGTCTGGCGTCTGTGTGCCGCCTGACTGAAATTGGTATTGGGAAGGTGGGCGCTTGAGGGTTGAGCGATGGTAGCTGGTAATGACATGCTGGTGATGACATGGTAGCTGGTAATGACAGCAAGGTGTACAACAAACTGATGGTTTTGCACCACCCATGACTCAATCCATTGCAAATAAAACCGTTTTGCTTGATGGGAGGTATATAAGTGGGTTGATTCTGCCCTTATCCGCTCATATTTTGGCACATCGTGCCTTGTGGACACCTTTGAGTCGAACAATGCCGACTTGAAAGTTGTTTCTGCAGTTGCAAGTCCACGATCAGTGCTTTTGATTCCGTTTGCTGCTCATGCCCTGCATTTTGTTTGTTGCAAGTTGCCGTGAATTCCCATCATGACGGCGGTAAAGGGAGTGGGCATGACGAGGCAAACCACACATTTCACCATCGCCATATTTGTCAGGTCTACTCGGGTGAAGATTTGCCGAGAGACACCATGGGCCCCAGAGTTTCGTGAAGAATCGAGGATGCTTTACAGGTTGGCGTCGGCTCAGAATATCACAGCCAGGGCCCTTCGTTTTGAAATGTTTTGAGTCACTTGGCGAAATATTCCTGAGATGAGTTGAGCACATGTAAAGGTCGAGTCCTCCGCCCAAATCGGCAGATTGTCAATCTATTGATGGATCAATCATCGCAGGTGTTGCATTGGGCTCGTACTGAATCACATTCATGACTGGCAGGTACGTCTATATGAAGATTGTTGACCAAGTTCATGGCGACAAGGCCTGGCAGCTGGCAACTGATACCTCACAAACCACTGGGAAAAACAACAGCTCAATGAAAACCCATTGGTTTGCAGCCACACACCTGCCATTCTCGAGCTACTCAGCTGGAATTCCGTCACATGTCATCTTCCAATTATCAGCTGGGCCATTTTCTGCAGCAAACTGGGCCAAGACTGCCAGTTTGCTTGAGGTCTTCAAGAGCAACGTCAGCAGCGAGTCCAGCAAGCCGGTCTGGGAGTTCGTGGTGGAGGAGACCGTGATGGTGGATAGCATGCATGGCCCTCCCAGGTGCGGCAGCGACGTTCGACACGAGTAGGATCTTTTTGCTGCGACATTAATGTTGTTATTACTTATTACTATTTACTGTTTTTCAGACAATAGAGAGATGGCCAGGACATGAAGTTGCATTCATTTCAGTGCTCCTTGCGGAGCCATGAAGCCTTTGGCGTCTTGGGGTTCACTCAAAAAGACGAGTCCTAGCGGCTCCAAAAGACTTTCTGCGAGCTGTTTGTTCCGCTGCAGGTTGGAGATCCAGCTCTATGGGCAGCGGGTGCTGCTTGATGTCTTGGATCGGTGACCTCCCAAAGACCGAAGACGGTGAGACGATGCAGACGAGATTTTGTTACAGCTCCTTTTACAGATGAATCAGAACAGCAATGTTTCGTGGGGGGTCAATCAATATTTTGGAGTGATTTGAATGGAATCACTTGAAGGAATGGAGTCTGATGAAGTTCTGCCGCCATCAATGGACCAACGGACAAAGGGTTCCAAAAGTTCTGCAAGGTCTGCTGGTTTGTGGCGTCCCCTTTTTCTGCTTCTCCATCAACCCACCCACAGTTGTCTAGGATCCCATGGCGGTAAAGGCAAAAAGCAGGATTTTCGCCCAAAAACCTCATAAGTGGAGCCGACATCCAACGTTTCACAAAGGTACTTGGGACAAGCAGTCCTTAAACTGCCAGTGGCGGTGCGCCTGGGCTTCGAGATCGAAGTGCTAAACCTAGTGACTAGTGAGGCTTCCTCGTTACTGTAGCTGCAGGAGTAACAGGCTGAAATAAAGCATTGTGTCATGTGTTGGATCATCAGCCGTAGGATGTGTTGAGACGGAGTAAATGCATGAAAAACATGCAATATAGACTCACCAAAAGCACCATATGTAGAACTTCGGTGGGCATCTGGTATCCTTTTGCCCCTCCCGATCCCCGATCGACGCATGAGCCACGCCAGCCGACCGCGGGGCCAATGAAGTCCTCATTACCCGTGGTTCTCAACACCTTGAGCGCCATGAACGACAAGATTGCGGCGCAGTTCGGGCCAGGGGAGCCCGGAAAGTACAAGCTCTCCTGGCGCAGCTCTGGGGTTGTGGTGTTGATAGTGATGAAAGCCGAGAACACCAAGTGTTCTGCCAATTGTGAGGTTTCCTAGAGGAGTTAAGGTCGACAAAACCCAGCATTCTTTGTTTAGGTGGTCTTCCAGACTTCTAGGTTCGGGTAGGGGTCGATCAAGTCACCAGCTGGATGGCCACAGAAGCAAGTTCTAGAGTTCTACATCTTTGGGTGGTCAGAACGCACACCCACCGAAGCAACCAAACCTGCTTTGCGTACCAAAGAATGGACGAGAACCTCAGTTACTTGGCTTTTTCCTTATCAAACCAAATACCAAGAGCCGTCCACGACCTGCGTTCTGTCCAAACTCATGACACCCACAACTTGCATCGCCCACCACGCAACTCGCCCTTCGCACAACTCGCGTCCGAGGGCGGCCCGGAAAGCTCGGTTGAACGTGGTTTGGCAGGCAGGGCGCGTGCTTCACGTGGTTGGGAGAGGATGCCAACTGTGAATGTCGTGAAGCTGATGCCAAACGGCGCAAAGTCTGGCAGGTCTGTGATGAAAAGCATCCAGGCCCTGTCCCGGATTTGATCCGAATCGCTGAGATGGATGAGGCTCGCAACTGAGACCTTTACTCATTTTGTTTTTGGATCGACATTGTGAGTGATGACGGTAGTGATGACGGTTTGTAAGCTCCCCACTTGCTGTTTCTTTTTTGCAGAGTGGAAAGGCCAGGTTCTTTTTGTGGCATCTGCATCCCTTCCCAGTAGGAGTGATTTCACCTGCAGGACGCGGCAGACAAGAAAAGCTACCAGTTTCACCTGAAGTTAGTGAACGTCAAGTTACGCAGGCCAGGAGGATGGTCCTCGTCCAGGATGGCCCGTCACAAAGATAAGGATCACTTGTCCTGTGACCTGAAAGGTTTCTGACAGGTTTCAAGGGCCAGTCAGACTGGCTATGATGATATGAATTCCTTCTAGATCATATATATATATATATCTATAAATAGGACTAGGCTAGTGACTGACTGCAGGCTCACGGTCTCAGAATCCTTTACCTTTCGAAAGAGCTCAACCAAGCAATGTGGATGGTTGCGTTAGATTTTGACCAGTGTGCAAGACATGCTTCGGAAGTTGTGGGAAGGGTCAGCTCATGAGGGACCCCACATGCCTCTCTTCTTGATCACCCCAATGTCCCCAAGATAGCTTCTGAAGAACACACCAGAGTGCCCACATGGATGATCATACTATTCCTCCAACACTTCTCGTCCCCTGCGATTCTTTTCTTCAAAATTCCTCTGAAGCTCGATGGCCGTGCTGGCAAAAGCTCCATGCGAATTCCGCAGGGCGACTGAAGGTCCCCGGCGTTTGGCCGTGTGCCTACGGCTCATTAAGCCGGATGGAGGGGCTGGAGAGCTCAGTCAAATTGAGAGGTCATGTCATTGTCATCCATGCAAGACCTCGAAAGCCTAGGCCTAGGACTTGGCAACCCAACTCAATAGCAATGGCCTCCAACCTACTAGCAATGGCCTCCAACCCAATAGCAATGGCCTCCAACCTAGAAGCGATTTGCTTTTGAGAGGTCACGGCATCCATCCAAGACCTCTCTCAAAAGTTCTTTTAGCCAGGGCATCCTGGCCATACGGTGACCAAGCAAGCACTTGTGTTGAACTGGACCAGCGCACGGTGTAGCAGTTTAGCCACGTTTGGTCGAACGCAAAGCTAAGGTGAGCAAAGCCTCACCGGTCCAGTACTCCCCACAGGCTGGTCTGTGAAGATGGCACGCCTTGTTGCGCGTGAGTTCTTAAACACATTAGGGAGGTTTGGGACGGAAAGGTGAGGGTCCTCGGCCATTCTGTTTTTTTTCTTTAAGTCGAGGTCAAGTGTGTCTCCTACTCACCTACTCTTTGATCCTTTGGGTGAGGCATGATTCTGGAACCCTATACCACCGTGCCGTCGGCCGAACGTTGAGGCCTGGTGCTGTCCGGAGAAGCGGGTTCAAGAGAATCTGGAGGAGCTCATGACGCCTGGGCCACAGGGCAGCCCTGCAGCCTGAGGACAAACATCTCAATGACCGCTCCTACCAGGTGCTAAATCATGGTAAATCTGTTTCTACTAGCTTCTTGTTACTACTAGTAAGGCACTTGTTACTAGAAGCGATGCACTTGTTACTAGTAGCTTCTTGTTACTACTAGTAAGGCACTTGCTCCTAGTAGCGATGCACTTGTTTCTACTCTAGTATTTTTTTAACTGCATAGTTTACATTGACCAAACACATCTTCCCTTCACCAAAGGAATTGCTTGGTTTGTCCCAATCGTTCCGCGTCGCGCCCTCCGAGGCGTCCGCCGCCCGTCGATCCGGATGAGGAGATCCGTTTCGGAGCTCCGAACGGGGACCACGAAAAAAGACCAGCCCTGTGAGGTTCTCAAGGGTTGACATGTGACCCATGTGGAGAGTGAGAGATAGTTTTGTTTTTCCCCAGATAGCATGAGCTATTGGGGTTCTTACTTCAAGTATAGGAAGAGCTGCATGTGTTCGTTTTCGAGCTTGGGTGCTGGCGTCGCTGCTGCGTGCGCTTGGGAGCTTAGCTGGTGCTGCTGTGTGCACTTGGGAGCTTGGGTGCTGGCGCTGCAGGGTGCCGGGGTGCCGCCACCGCTGCTGCGCTTGGGAGCCTGGGTGGTGGTACCACTGCATGGCCGCTGCTGCGTGCGCTTGGGAGATTGGGGCTATCTGGGGTCTATGCTGGTGTATTTTGTTCACGCTCCAACATGTTCTTTTGCCCAGTTTCATACAAGCAAGCAAGAACATTCACACATTCAACGAGTGATCAAAAGAAGGCTCGATCAGAAAGTTTCAAGCTGCTTGACGCTGCTAACACCTTGCTGTCGTGCTCATCCAGATTCCATGTTCTGGCAAGTGTATTTTTGACCTTGAAAATCTTGAGGATAGATTTAAGAAAGACCTAACCTAACACGCCTGTCGCAGGGTGGGGTGTCTTTGGGTTGGCATTGCTTCGCAAAATCTGTTTGAGGAGTGCACGACAGCTGTGTGGCATGAGGAGCCCAGAGTCCGGGGCGGAACCATGCAGCAGACAGCTGCGTAAACCACTCGGAAAGAGGTCAAACCAGGCAAACTCTGGTCTTCATCTCGCAGGTTCATTCAGTGTTGGGTGAACATTGATACAAAAAGGATCAAGTTAAAACCCCGTTTAATCATGCGGAAGCAAGCAGCACCTACAGGCTCACCAGGTCCAGTTGCGTTAGGATGGTGGAACACTCTCACCGTCGCCTTTTGCATCTTTGTAGGGCTCAAAGGATGGATAGACCCGCACAACACCAATTCGTTGTCCAGGTGTGGAAGGTGATCTGGTTCGTTTTTTCGTTTATTTTTTTCAGACTTCGAAAGTCCGATTTTTCGAGGGCAGTGCCGTGCTGTCATCGTTTTCTGACCTTTGGGAGATGCCAGGATAGACGCCTTGGATGGATGATGCCCACTTGGGTGTTGAGGGAGAGCCACCTTCAACTGCTGCTGGGAGGCCCAAGGTGGTTGGCTCAAAGGATGAGGTGGCCTTCGGCCTCCAACCTTATAGCGATGGCCTCCAACCTAAGAGCGATGGCCACCAACCTATCGTTTCTTTGCCACCCGGTACTTAGGGAATTGGGAGACTTAATGGCGGGTGTGACAGTCAAAATCCACGGAGACCTGGACACGGAAAAACGAAGTCCATGCACCAAGTCACCTAGAAGTCTATGGGCCTTGTTGGAGCGGTTTGAGCTGCCATGTTTGGTCCAAACAACGAGATTGGAAGCACTTTTTGTCCTAGCAAACCTATCTTTGGACCAGTACCTGAACACTGGGCAATCGCCGGCGCAGTAGTTTGAGGGATACATAATACTTCTGTTTGGGCAGTGCCGTCCTGAGCTGCAGGAGCTATACGATAGAAGCTCAGCTTTTGATGTACAACAGCTCCTTGGCCAAACCTATCGTCCAATTCGTCGCCAAAGCTGGTGCAAGATCTGTCGGGCCATGGTGATATTTTGCAAATTTGGAAAGATCAAGGAGAGGAAGTGCATTGAAGTGGGACTTTAGTGAAGTGTACTTTAGTGTCACTCTATCGAAAGTGGCACATGTTAGACATGCTTTCCCACTTTTCCAGCTTTGTTGCCTTTTCCAGGCAGTTCAGTTGGATCCTTCTCGAAGCTGTCCAGTCACAGTTGATCATTCACGCGACTTTGCATGAAGACCCTTGGTAGGAGAGTTTCTCAAGATTTTTCTTGTACTGCTTTGCAGATTTTTTCTTGCCTTTGCGCTCTTCTTGTTTCCGTTATCCTGGTAATTCTATTTCGATTCTACTTCTCCCTTTTCGAAACGACCTGAATCCAATCTGGTCAACATTGCACTCAAGTCTCACAGAAACCACCCCGCAGGTTCTTGCACGAGGGCCACAGGAATAGAAGCAAGGAGGTAGACCCAAAGTTGGATAGGTCCCTTCCACATTCGATATAAAGTGGACTCTTTAGTTTGGCCATGGGGCACAGAAATACCTCCGGTTTTCGCATGTTTCAACCGGGTACCACTCCACAACGCATTGACGAGCAAGCGGCATCTCCAACTATGCGTTGACACGGGATATTAGAATCGGGAGACCCGACCACTAACCTTGAACTGATTGGCCTCCTGAGTGCTTAGGGGTCTCCCTCTTTCCTCACCTACACCCACACTGCAAATGACCTGCATTTGATCAACATGTCCTGTGAAATCATGCTACAGCTTTTGATGTGAAAATCTCTCAGGCCCACCTCCAAAGGAGGCGGGACTTCGGAAATCAACGGGATGTCTAGATCGTGAAGCCCCCAAAAACCAGACAGATGTAATTTTCAATGCGGATGCTTTATTTTGAGCAATACTTGCCAGTATCAGATTTGCAGGCCGTGAAAGGATTCGAGTCAGCATGGAGCCACACCTGACCGACATAGATGGGATTCTCCTATCTTGGCCCAAAGAAACACCACGTGCGCACGTGACGAGTTCCCTTAGCTAAGCACATGAAACATGGACAGGGATGTGGAGCTGAATTTGATTCTGGTGGAAAGCAAGATGTAAATACAACTGAGCTCAGACAATTTGCAGGAATCTTCACCCATGCAAGAAAATGACATGCCCTTTGCACAGCTGTGTTTTCTTCCGTGACCCACTCGGCTGAGCCGCCAGGCGAGCACCAAGAAGTTTCGCTTTTTTCGGCACTCTAACCTGGGCGGACAGCAGGCGCTCGTGGACGGGGTAGGTCCGGTCCAACAGGTGGATGGGTTGAAAGCGGTGACCTCACGGTTTGGCCATAGGCTTGACTGTTCCTTTGAGGCTTCAAGCTTGAACGCACATTGAGACGCACGCATGGGGATCGCTGACCACACAAGTTTGCCAGATGTTACATGTCATTAGATTTAGTTTGTTTAGTGGTGTGACCCTCCTGCAGAAGAGGCACGGTCGACGTTGCCTCTGAATACGTATAGATGTTTGTTTTAAGCCAAAGCCAACGCAGACTTCTTGCTGATTTGTTGCGCTGATTTGCGTGACTCAATATCCATGAAAGAGCTAGCAAGCTTTGAGTTCGAAGAACAAGACACATCACCCACAGGTCAGCTTTTGATTCTTCCAGGTACTTGACAAATGTCTGCGGCGGTTGTTTTCGAAGTACGCAGTTTCTTGTCCCATGCGAAGCTTTGCAGGAAGAGAAGCCAACGAAGCTTGGTGTTTGGCGAGAGTCCCTAGGAGCCAAGTGATGCATGGGGTTTAGGTGAACGGTGAAGTCACGGTGTTCCAAAACTCTTAGACTGAGAGAAGTCTTTTGGGAACAAATGAGGATGTGGAAGAAAGTGGGATACCTCGCCACCAGTCAGTTCTTGATCCAAGTTTTGATCTGGCAATCCAGTGGCGAATGCCGATGACATGCCGAATGCGTGCACTTTTCAGGAGATCTCCTTGACTCCATTGAGCAAGCCGATGAAGGGTGCGCCTTTGGGGAACTCGTTCTCAGGAATGGTACCAGATGATACAATGTCTCTAAGTCTTGGAACAACTCCATCCATTGCAACACCTGATCAATCACATTCCGATAGCATCTGCAACCATTTGGCCTTTACACTGCCATGTTCTAGCATGGTCTTGACTGCATCAGGTGGTCTGAGTTTACGTATAATAGATAGTCACAACCAATTCGAATGAACATTTGATTTCCACGGAAAAGAGTTCCCGTGGCCCTCTTAGTCTTAGGTTGATCGATGACCACTTAATTTCATCTTCTTGGCCAGTCTCCCACGATTCTGTGAGGCCAGTTTCTTCCCCCACCTCAGAAAAAGACCTCATCTGCCGGCTGGGCGGGGGCGAACCTCTCCTTCACCCATTGCCAAGCCACCGCTGACTGAGCATCGCCACCCGCTCGCACCGCCAGGATCGTTTGCGAGGCACCGCTGAACTCCTCGGGCTCCGAGGTGGCCACGCTGCGAATGGAGCCCGAAAAGCCCAGTTTCAAATGATGGATAGAATGAGTGTCAGTGTCATCCCTTTGTTGATGTTTCACTGTGTGTTGTGTGACTTATATTATTAGATATACTGATATACATTACATTACATTACTCCGATTTTTCTGATTCTTTTCCAGGACAATGAGTTCTTGATTCGCTGCAACTAGATTTCCTTTCCGATCGCCTGAGGATCGATGTCTCTTCGTCCCACTCGCACCGCCTGCCGGCCCACTTGGTGGGCAAAGACATCACGGACTGGCCGCTGGAAAAGGCCAACTCTCGGATTTGTCTTGGGGGTCCGAGGACTGAGAAACCGTGGGTCCACATTTGGATGTCAAATACTCACCTGCCTGCTATTCTTCCTTGTTTGAGGGTTGGGTGGCACTCAGTTGAAAAGAAGAGCTATCGCACCGCTTTGTCCTCAGGCGCCGTTACGTCGGGGAAGCCCTGCCAAGGTGCGGCCAGAGCGGTTCCTCCTTGATCGTCCACCAGTTCAAGAGCAACCCACCCTTTTGGTACTATAAAGCAGCACTCATTTTGCAGTTTGAAGGACCAAATCATTCCTGGTTTGATCAAGAAAAAGACGAGATTTACAGGAATGCAGCATATTTACTATTCTCCAAACAGTGTGTCCACACTGGGGTTCTTGCGGTGATAGTTGAGGACGGGTGTCTGATCGAGGTGCTCATTGGCGTTTGCGGCTAATTCGCGGCTATTTACAGTACATTCATTCACCTCGAGATATTCGAAGTGCATATCGACTGCGCAGGCTCGCAGAATCCGGTGGACCCGCGCGGGTGTTCTTCCCGACTGCGCTCTCGTTGTGGTCCCGCGCGCATTTTTCAACTTGGTGATCACTTTTCGTGGCAGGCGCCCGCAGATGCAAGAAGCGGCCCAAGCCTCTCCACCCGCCCCCAGATCCAAGAAGGGGCCCAAGTAATCGCAGGCGAGCCACTGTGCCGCAGGAACTCTACAGATAATCAAACACAGATAGAAGTGCTTTTTTCAGAAAGTGCCCTTTAAAGTTCGGACTAAAGTGCGAGAGTTGGCCCCACTTGGTCGCTTGTGATGCAGGAGGTGATGCACAACAAGGTGCAGTACTACGTCACCGTCTCAATCTTAGATACCAACGAGCAAGCCAACCACATCTGAGTTGGAAAACAACCGGAAAAGGTTCCCCGGTGAATTTAAACGAAGCCAAGCGGAGCAAGCTCACGAGGGTCAAGACTCAATTGTCGTGCAGGATCTGCACGATGAGTCAGGGCCGTTTTGAGTTCATGGACCTTGAGGGTTCAGTCTGCAGAATATCACACACTAATAACACCAATAGTCAAGAAGTGGGCACTGAGCTGATGTGGCTGAATCCAGGATTGACAAAATGCCAGCGGTTTTCACGTGATGGCCCAATTGGAGATCTACCACATCTAGTTGTCCAAATGGGCCACACAAGGTCCAATCAATGCTTTGGAACAGTTTTGCTTTTGACTTCCATCTTTCAGCACTTGTTGGAGTGCTGAATCATCACTTGTTGTATCGCGTCGTGCTGAAACATGGCCGATCGCACCCCAGAAACCTTGAACTGCTCGGAGGCATAGTTTGGCGGAGTTCCGTCAGCCCATGAGCATCTGACAAAGTTACCTCAAGAAGAAATATGTAAGGGGGCCTCTTTTGTGCTTATATATATGATGTGAAGAAACCTTTCACAACCGGTCAGGAAAAACCCAGCAGCGGTACCCCTACAATACATACCAGAATTGATTCAGTGATTATTAGTTAGGGCTTGATACTAGCCTGTTTGGTTTTGATGGCTTTCAAGACTCTGCAGTCTTGAGATCTGAAGGTCAAGACATGGGTCTCAAGTATGCCTCCTTGGGTCTTTGGAAGGTCGGACAGTAGGGCAGGTCTCACCGATACCTCAACTGATACCCGTTTCTGCAAAATTACATGCATCAGTAGCTCTTTTTTCCACTTGAAGGGCTGACACTATGACTTGAAGAGATGACATTTGAAGGAGCAGACACAAGCAACAACTTTTTGGCCACAAGCAAACATTCTGGAAGCAGATCAAAGCATCAGCTCGGAACCCCTCAAGTTCAACGTCAGATGCCTGACACCAAGTCAGCAAAAAGATGCTCAAAACCTTCACAACTGATACTTCACAAATGATAGCATCATGACATCACACTTGAAACGCCCAAATCCTCACAACCGATAGGGGACGTCCCAGATTTACATCTGGCATGGCATATTCGCACAGTAAGTATTCATGTCCGCAACTCTTGTCTCAATTCTGTTGCTGCGGGAGTAAAGGCTCACAAACATGTTTAAAGTACTGTTGAGATTAGTGGGGGCATTGAAGTCCTGAGGGGTAGCCGAGCCATACGCCTATCGCAGGGCCTAGGCTAGGGGGTACGGACGCTTATGGTAGGCTGAATCTCAAAACAAGCTTGTTTTTGGAAGACAATTTCACATGTTCTGATTTTGTGCAATACCATAGCGACGGGTTAAGCTGAGAACCCTCAGTGCGAGGAAAAGGTGAACAAGCTCGTTCTTGTCAGGCAGGTTCACATGTTCTGGTCTGGCTTCGTGCAGTAAGAATAGGGGGCCAAGCTGAAAACCTCAATCTGAAGGCAAGGTGAGCAAGGTCGTTTGTGTCAACCAACAGATGTCAATGCAATCCAGTAACAAGAGCCACCAAGAGAAACATAAGCAACTGGGTTTTACAGCTTCTGAAACAGATGCAGGGTACGGCCTAGGTAGGGCCCAGGACAGGGCCCAGCGCAGGGCCTAGGGTAGGCATGCGGATAGAGGTCGGATTGGCGCCGGCGATGCGTGCAATGGGATAGGGCAAGGTAGCAAGGTGAGCGTTTGCATAGGATAGGGAAGGGCAGGCGTGTGGCCAAAAGAGAGGACTTCTGTATGCTGGCTGCTTAAGCCCTTCGTATTTTGTTGATAAAGACTCAGTTCCTTGCCTCCTCTAGTTGTTTTAGCTGCTTTAGGTCATGGTGGATGGACTCCCAAACCATGAGATGTGTGGAGCCTGGCGGAGCGCCCTTCGCCGATGTGATCGGCAAGACAAAGCTTTTAGGGGCCAAGAAGTGGATGTTCTTGGGGATCCTACTAGTAACGAAGGGCATCGCTACTAGGAGCAAGGACGCTAGTAGCCCTGGCCTTATTACTAGTAACAAGAAGCTACTAGTAGCAAGAAGCTACTAGGTTGGAGGCTGATATGGGTTTGTATTTTTACGGAGAGATTTACTGGCCCTGGCTGGGTAGACTGGTCTAATTCCTTTTCTTCCAGGAGTTGAACTGGGAGGTCTCCCTATTTTACTGCACACATATTCACAAGTTCAACGGTGTCTCGTGCGTCCAAGAACTATCTCTTGCCCACTTCCATGAGCCTTGTGAGCCTTGGCCCGAGGTGTTTGCCTTACGTGCGGGTCTCCATGAGTTCTTCCTCGGAGTGCACGGAGGATGCGGACACGAGCGTTACTCTCCGACAAACATGCCACATCGAAGTGGACACTTGCCCTCGAGGGAAACATTCCATAGGTTTTTAGTATTGGTGAGTCAGAGTGCAACAAGTTGAAATGGAACTAAGGCGCGTACCCGGTGTTTCGGAACTTGAGGAATCATGCTCTGGCCTATCGCCCAATGTTGCATGACCAAGTTGGCGTTGGCAAGGTTGTCTGTTCAGCGTCGTTTCACGACCAGGCGAAGACCGAACATTCCGTGAGCAACGTGACGTTTGATAAAGCCTTGGTGATCCAAAGTACATTGATCCAACGCAAGGCATGGGCCGCATGGGCCGCATGGGCCGCATGGACCGCATAGGCATATATGCTCAGTAGTGTGTTGTTGATAAGACACCTTTTTGGGGCCTTCAAGGGGATTCAAACGCACTTGCTGAACACGTTTTGTTGGTATGTTTGACCTCATTCACACTGGTGTGCTTTCAAATTTTGATATGAACATGTGAGACATGCCTGCTGGATCTGGTCGGACTCAGTAGAACCGTTTCTGTATGCAAGATGTCAATGTATCTTCACTCAGAAGGAGGACGGTTTGCTTTGTGCAGGCAAAAATAGAGATTCTCAACAAGGCAACGGGCAGTGAGCGGCTCTCAGAAACTCACAACCACCTGTCGCTGCTTCGACAGTTTTAAACATCGCAAAGTACAGGTTTTTTCATCGAGCCTTCGCGTCGCCTTGTTTGTCCCCCCCGAAGTGGTTCCATGATCTAGACCCTTTGTGAACCACATCGAGCGGATTTTTGCTGGGTTCCATGTGGAGATGACTGCGTCGCTGTGGTTGGAGGGAGACTGATGAGATCTTGAGGTTTTCAATGAAGACAAAGTCATTGGCGAGGGCGTCATCTATGACTTGGAGCCAGACAAGGACCTAATCTTGGAGTGGTTCTATTGACAGGTCAATGATATATGATATATTATGGATAAGAAGAATAGCAGTATAAACTGCGAACGGGCCATCGTGGATAGGCACGTGCCCAATGATTTTGATTTGTAAGCTGCACGTGAGTTCTTAGACACATACCTCGTTTACAGGCCCAATCCGATTCTAGAACCAAGCCACAGGGCAAAAAAAGAGACAGTGAGCGGAGCCTCCGCTTGTTGAGGACTACTGGATACATTGCTATGGAGGCTGTTGGCGGCAGTCATTCTGGTCTTTACAACCAGTGCTGGTACACCTTCTTCGGTCCAGAGTCCAGCTGTGGTCATGTGTGCATTTCCTAGCGACCGGCGGTTTTTTTCCCGGGCAGACAGCCGCAACAGACAGCCGGAGCTGTCAGCTGGCCCGGCGTCTCTCTGAAGCAGGTGCCGCGGAGCCAACTTATCCTGATGTGGCCCTTCAGATGACCAAAGGTCGGAAGCCTGGACCGCAGAGTTGGCTTGTGAACAGACCCCAGCAGTGGACTATTGGTCAAGACATGTCACCTTCGCAGCTTGGAAACGGAACCTCAAGCCTCAAGGCCTGTCCCGTGCATCCCATTTGATGCAACTCAAGATGGCAATTCAAAGACTAGAAAGCAGAGCCGAGTGACATAGAATGTCCACGTAATGTTGACCACCCACACAAAACCACTTTGGTTGAGTAACCTCATTTGGCAGTGGTTCAAAGTCAGCTCCTTCCATGGCTCTCCCCAAAGTCCTGTGTTCCCTTGTCCAGGTGCGGTGAAGCCTGCCTCTACCTATAGTGCTTCTTTGGCCATCAAGTTCGGGACCGACCGGTTGACCGACCCTTGTTTCAATGGTCCAGAGAGAGGGGAAGAGATCGCCCTGACCAGGACCAAGATGGCCTCTAAAAGCTATTTCGAATCAATGAAGAAGATGAGAAAGCCTCACAGGCCGCGTCCCACAGTCTGCCGCAGTCAGCCTCTTGCTGTTGCTTTGGGTCTTCTTGTTTGTCCTCAGTCCTCATAGATGTGACTATGATTGTCGTTGGTTTCTTCCCGGTGATGTCATTATCTTGGCCTTTCTTGCGATTCATTGATGTTCTTTAGGCATGTCTTTTCTTTCATTCCCCTACATGAGGGCTTTCCCTGCTTTTTGCAGCCTACACACTTCCCCTACAGCATTGAACCCTTTGGATATTGCTCCGCAGGTTGAGAGTGCGCTTCTATTCGGGAGTGAATCTCAACTCCTATGCAAATCAGAAGGTGAAGGTGATCGTGAAGGCTTTTGGAACAGCGCATGAGGGAGCAGCTATATTTACAATTCACAGTGTTGTAATCTGTATGCTTTGAAATGAATAACGGCCGATTTGAAATGGAGCCATCAGATGCCATGTCATTTGAGGTGCAGCCAGAGATCAGCTTCATGTTGAACCGTTCCATTCGTTTCCCTTGGCTGATTCCTTGGCCCTAAGTGCCACAGTATTTGGCAACTTCAGAGCTTGGGTGGAAAGTGAACAGCCTTCTCGTAGTGGACCGTTGTGTCTTGAATTCATTACGGACAAACTATATAGGACAACCGGTGCTCATTTCCTTCATCGCTTCACTAGTCAAGCCCTAAGAACAATGATTGACCAACAAGGAACCACTACTTACCTTCCTCTCGCAAGCTGCGCGGTAGCACTACTGTAAGGCTCCACATATCCAAAACGTGTCGGAGCATGAATGTCACTGGTGTGGATGCCACTGACCTCAAAGCCTTTACAGGTTCCGGGCTGCCGGCTACCCGACGAAGCTGGTGCTCAAGAGATCCTCCGAAACCTCCAGGAGACGTGTGGGGATGCTTTTCTGGAAGTGACCGAAACCTCATAGCTACTAGGGGCTCCTGGCATCGCTACTAGGAACAAGAACGCTACTAGGGGCTCCTGGCCGTACTACTAGGAGCAAGTAGCTACTAGTAACAAGAAGCTACTACTTGGATTCCGCATTGAACTGACTGCAACTGACTTCTTGGTGGGTGACACATGAAGTGAACCAGTGGTATTAGTGGTTCCACCACTTGCAGGTCAGCCGGTCTCGCCAGCCGCCAGGAGCTGGAATCCCTTTCTTCCACGGATCGCCCGAAGTCACCACACTCGCAGATGCGGCGCAAGGCGTGGTGCGGTGTCGATGAGATTCTGGAGAGGTCGATGCGGTCCAACTTCTAAGCAGTGGGATCATGAAGCTGCCGCATCGAAAGCAGTCTATTTTCTGCACGTCATGCACTTGATGCTGTGGGGCCGGGACCTTTCATGATCACATCAAATTGATTGAGCTCCACGTTCCGGATGGTCGTGCGGACTCATTGGCCCAAGCCCAAAGTCGGGCTTTCCCTTCCTCCCTTCCCCCCTCCGGTGTTCAGCACCCGGTGTTCGCCACGGCCTTGTGGCGGAAGACCCGCCGATGGGCTACGACGATGCGCTCACGGCCTTCTCGGAAGCGCGGTCGCTGCTGGGGAGGGCAGAAGATGCCATGCAACATGCTGTACAAGCGGAGCAGCAGAAGAACGTGGATTTGAGGCTGTAAAAGAAAAACGTCGTCGACACGCTCGTTGTAGGTCGACTCGACAACACGCTCTTTTTTATATTGAAAAAAAACATGAAAAACAGAAGAGGGAGGATCAGAAAGTGTAGTTTGATGAAAACAATTTTTGCTCCGTATTCTCACTCCAAACATTGTAGAGCTGGGGTAAACTCAGTGAACCTCTCGTTGGACATGCATGCATTTCTTGGGTCAAACGACGTGGCCGAAATAAAGGTAGCGACTTGGACCAAACGTTCAACATCACGGTTTTGAGGTGTCTTACTGGATTACTGCTTTCCACCACTCCTGATAGTCATACTAGTCGCCAGCCACCGCTTTCTGCTTCTCCCATGCCGAAGTGACCCTTTCGGCTGTCCACCGCCCTGGCACCGCCCTCCACCGCCGCAGCTCCCCGAGGCGCGAGCTCACCGAGGCGCGGGAGGCCCAGCGGAAGGCCGTGGCGGAGCTCACCGCCGCGCGAGACGCACAAGAGAAGGCGCGAGACGAGTGGGCGGAACTCAGCGGCGCGGTGGGGGAAAGACAGCGGCGCGAGGATAAAAGGGGGATGATCCGAACCTATGATACGAAGCATCATTTGAGTGGAGGGTGTTGTTGAAATGAGTCTTTGCTGAAAGAATCCTCACAAGTTGACCTGCATCTTGCTTGGACACACCCGACCTCGGTCGTTTTGGGGCTCGGATCCCATGAAGACAGCCTTCTCGAGACTCTGGCCAGGCGGAAGGCCGGCTTGAGAAGCTCGAGGAGAAGTTGCAGGCAAAGCGCGATGCCATCCAAGAGCTTCAAGACCCTGGGCTTTAGATGGTTCAAGAAACGGGTGGTTCAAGTGTGGGTCTATCGAACAGACCCCGAGGGGAATTCCTGATACAGTATATTCCTTGGGTACCTCAGAGAAAGGAAGCCCTTGGGCAGTGTTTAATGGACTCAAGTCCTTTGAGGTCGATTGCGGCTCAAAGGACTTGAGCACTTCGAGGTTGGCCAGGTGGCATGAAGGAAAATCCATTTGGTCCGAGCCCATTGTGGGTTCAAGAGCTTGCTAGCTCTGCCTCACTCCCTGTGGTACTCCCTGTGAGTATGTACCGAGCCCTCAAGCGATTTTCAGTGGAAGGGAAAGTCGAAAAAGAAACTCCTTGTTGAGGCTTCGGCTTCAGTGTGGCATTCTAGATGATATACTGTATCCAGTCTTTGTTGCTTGGACACAGATGATATCAGAGGGTCATAGGCCAGGCCGCCAGGCCGCTACCACCGCAGCATCATCCCAGAGCTTTCTGGAGCACCAAAAATAAACATTTTTAAGGGTGATCTTACCGCACTGTCCTCAACCAATGGCACATCGCGTTGTCTCCACGTTTTCTTTGCGCCGTCGTCTTCGCTGAGGATGAGAAGGATCAGCTTGAGGCCAAGCTGGACAAGAAGAAAAAAGAGACGCTTGGACCGGTCTGGACGAGACCAGTCTCGAGCCCACAAAAGAGCCTCCCCGAAGCGAAAAGCGAAAGGTATCAGAAGCCTTTTCAAGTAAACAAGGGCATCGCTACTAGGAGCAAAGACGCTACTAGTAGCTCCTGGCATTACTACTAGTGACAAGAAGCTATTAGTAGCAAAGATAAGTCCAACGATTGCAGGTTGGATGGCACTAGCCACTCAGCCCGTCGTTTTCCAGTGACCCTCCACTTTGCAAAAGCTGGAGGGAAGCCATTTCTGTGATGCAAGGAATGCTTCAGGTTCGTCAACTGGATTGGCTAAACTGCGGCTACACTCTTGCTTCTGCCATTTCACTTTGGATTTGTAGAGGATGAGGAAGGGTTTTCATCTAGCAACGGCCACAATAAACAAGATCATTGGGTAATTCTTTGCCTATGAAGTTTGGCTTCTCCTGGGTGGTTCTTTTGGTGTTTCCTTGAAGTCCTTTCTGCCATTTTCTCCTTTGACTTTCTGGGAATCCACAGCAGGGCTGCACAGTCCGTAGTTTGACTTCTGTTCAGATTCGGGATGTTTAGAGTTGGCCCCTGCACCTGTTTGCCTATATGTCTATACCATTTGGTTGGGTTGGTTTTTATTGCTGTAGTATGTGGCCCGACTACACGACTTAGATGACATCTCGGAAGGGCTTCCCCCAAGAGATCAATCATAAGATCAAAGGCTGTTTTGTGAAACCTTGATCCGCTTTTTTGGATTCCAACCAGCGAGCAATGTGAGCATCCTTCATTTGACCTTGGCGACTTGATCTCATGCTTAGGAATCGTGATCTGAAGGAAGAAGTGGAGGAATTAGAGGAGAAAGTCCAGAAAAAGAATGCAGATGAGAAGAAAAAGCAGAGGCCAGGTTCTCTTGTCTGTCTTTTTTCGAATCATGCACGTTTCCCACGCTTGTTCAGCCCCCTTCCAGTACCTCACGGCCTCGTTCGTAGGTTTGGGAGAACGACCAAATTGGGCCTCGCAACCTTTGGGGTTATGACGAACAGCTAGCAGCCCAGTACTTCAACCCATCTGCCCCAAACGATGATGCACATCCCACAGCCTGCAGCCTACAGGCAAGACAGTCCTTCTAGTGCCTCTGGAGAAGATAAGCTAAAGAAGGCGCAAGTGCAGCTTGGCAACACCACAGTACCCCACCCAAGCAAACATTTCGTTTCGAGTGCGGGAATCATTGTCTGGGGCAGTATCACAGGACTTGAAAGTGCCCGTACAAGGAAGATGAACTTGGACGATACGCTGTCATGGCAACGATGATATGGTCAGTCTGCCTAGTGGCTGGTTCTATCAACCATCCGAGGTCTGTAAAGAAAAAGTCTGCCTCCCGGAGTTGCAGTGGAAGCAGAGCTAATGGCGTCATCAGCCCCGAACGCGAAGCTCCCAAGAGTCTCGGAGTTTTGAGAAAAAAGGTATGCGAGCTTGGCCCAGCTTGGCTGTTTAAACTTCACAATGATGCTACCTTGCAGTGAGAGTCACAGACACCTTGGGGGGCCCTACTTGGATCCTATCCCTTTGGAGACCTGCAGCTTTCCCGCTCCCGAGGAAGGAGGAGCGGAAGTCGAAGAGTCGAGGGAAGTCTTCGAGCAGCTCCAAGGGTCGAGGCTGGCGCTGATTGGGATGGGATCCAAAGGGAATAGAACTCGGTCAGATGATTTGAAACTCGAAACGGAAGTTCTATCCCCCACATCTTCTATACAACCTCTTCCAACATCCAGCTTCCACTCATGCCAATCCTTTTCCACAACCCCCTGCTTCCTCCGTGTCCCCTCTCCTTGCGCTAGGCGGCCGCAAGGACCGCAGCCGTAGCCACAGCAGTCGGGACCGCCGGCGCGAGGCGCGACGGCGGCGGAGCCGGAGCCGCGGCCGATCCTCGAACCGGAGCCGAAGCCGGAGCCGCTATGGCCGAGCCTTGGACGACCCCCCGGTGGGGCGGGACTGGAAGGGTGGAAAGGGTCCTGGACCTGCACATCTATCGCATCTTTGGGGGTAGGCAAACAGGCTTTTTGAACCTTGCAAGAGGAGGTTTCTCTCTTCCTCCAACTCCGCAACTCCTGTTTGCTGCTTGGCATCCTTTTCTGGCCCAGGAAAGGGCGATGGCAAGGGCGATGGCGCTCAGCTGTGTATCCCCTATGTCCAGGGCCGATGTCGACGAGGTGATACTTGCCGAGATCGGCATCCGGCTGATGACTTGGATTCCATCTATGATACTCGGCATGATTTGGACGTGGGATGTTAAACCCCGGGACCAGAGATGTAGGTCTGTAGGTGATTTTGAAGTCTTTGTTCGAGAAGAAGTGGAGGTCTGGCCTGATATTTTGCAACGTTATGAAGATTTGAATCAAAAAGCAACACATCATCGATGAACGAGAGTCATTCGGCCAGGCAAAGCTAAAAGATGCTAAAAGGATCTAAAAGGCTTGTGTAGGTGTTTCCGTGCACCTTGCCACCCTCCAGGATACTCTCCAGCGAAAGCCTTGCAGATATGGTGCAGACTGCAAGCGCAGGGATTGCGTCTTTAAGCACCCCGATGATCGAGATCGAAGACGTGAGGATTAGAACTATAAAGATGCTCGCCCGATGCCGATCGATGGCCCCGCCGAAAAAGAGAAGACGGTGCGGCATCGTTTGAAGCGCGTTGGCCTTGTTGGGTGTTGGGGGCTTGTACGGCGTTTGTTCAGAGGGTGAGGCCCTCCACCTGAACAGAAGCCTGGACAACTCAGGAACATGAGCTCACGTTTTGGACGCCGCACACTCGCGTTGGGCCAGGCGCTCCTGGAGAGGGTGCCGCCCCCGGAGCGCTTCAACAGCAACCTCTTAAGCTTCCCCGCCGAGGTGGCCGGAGATCCGCGGTGAGATCAGCGCGCTACGATCGGTGGAGATCAGTGGTGTCAGATCGGGGGCATAGCCATGTAGGTTGAACAAAGTGCATCGCTATTAGTAGCTAATTTACTACTAGTAGAAAGAAACCATTAGTAGCTGGCTAGAAGAAGCTATTAGGTTGGAGGCCATCGCTAGGTGTCGGCCCGAGCTCCTCCCAGCGGGTGCACCGGGGCGAGCCAACGACTCGGGGGGGCGATGTTTGAACCTGAGCCATGGTTGTCCCTGGTGCCCGAGAGTGCCGCAGTCACACTCTCGGGCAAAGCATGGTACTATGATCACGCACGATCTGCATACTGCTGCACATCCCTTTTGAGAAGCCAACAGTTCATGCTCTCGGGGATTCGACTCCATGGAGATAGGTTTTCCGTCATAGCTGCCAGGAAATCCACTCAGGCTGGAACGTATGTCTTGGAGGCTGACCAGTCGGCCATTCAGGTACACACCCTGGCCAACAGTTCCACGGCCACCGAAGTGATTGACATCTGCTCAGGCTATGCCATCATGACGGCAGGCTACAGTTTGCTGGATTGCAAAGTCAGGTGCCACGTTGAGATCAATCCAACCTATGCTTGTTGGCTGAGGGAAAAACATTTGCCCGTCATCGAAGGTGACATTGACAGCAATTCGGTCTTGCAGGCATTGCTGCAATACACCTCGACGCCATGCATCATGACAGGAGGATTTGCTTGCCAGCCCTTCTCGACTTTAGGCGACAGGAGACAACAGTTAGATCCCCGAGCTCGGAGCTTTGAAGGTATGATCACAGCATGCTATGTCTTCCAGCCATTAGCATTGATATTGGAATGCACCAAGGAAGCGATGACTTCGCCATGGGTACAAGATACCCTCCGCTCCTTTTGTCAAGCTACTGGATATGTACTTCAACAGCAGCTGTGTCACTTGCAGGATTTTTGGCCGGCCAAACGAACGAGGTGGTGGGCAGTGTTGATCCATCCCAATTTCCGGATGCCAGAACTGCGAGGATTCCCAAAGCTCGACTTTCAGCCAGCATTCCGCCACTTGATTCCGCAGTTGCCCAAGTGGCCCGTTGATCATGTACAGGAGTGGCAACTCACGCCTTCAGAGCTATCGGTCTTTGCAGATCAACCAGGAGGGCTAGGAAAGAATGCCGTTTGTCCGACAAAACCATTGCAAACAGCTCTCCATGCATGGGGGTCACAACTGAGTGCATGTGCATGCGGGTGTAGGGCAAGTGGTTTTACCTCCAAAAGACTTGATGAAAAGGGATTGTATGGTGCACTCATTCCCACCGAAGGCGTCACCCAAGTCAGGGGTTATGACCTTGCCAACATGCGCCATGTTCACCCTGACGAAGTGGCTATCCTGCATATGGTTCCCCCGGCACACCTCCAGCGCCCGGATCCTCGCCGACTCAGACTGGATTTGACCGCACTGGGACAGATGGCCTCCCCAGCTCAGGCCTTATGGCATGTGGCCCAAGTCATCCAAGCACTGAGGAATGCTTTCGGGTCAAATTGCTCTCAGTCGCTTGCCGAACAAGGCCTGCTCCAGCTGGCAATTGCTACCTTCGAGGCTCGAGATGAGATGCTGCAGCCGCTTTCGCATACTAAGGAATCAGCCTTGTTCCAAACAGCCGTGCTTGCGAAGTTTGGGGTGTCCTTCCAATGCCCCCCGATCCTAAGTGCACATGAGGTCAAAAATGCTGACGATGCTGCCCAGATTGCCCAGCATAACCGGCACCTTGACGTGCCAAAACCAGGTGTATCAGATACACCTGTTTTATCATCTGGTTTCGAGCCTTCCTGTGAGCCATCAGCAGCCGCTCAGCTTCCGGATTGGAACGATGAAACGGGTAGGCTGGGGAGAATCGAGCCTCACGAGGATTTCGAGGTCAGTGAGACCCATATACCAGGCAGGGAGTCCCTCAAGAGGAAAGCAGAAGTTGATGATCTGTTCCCACACGACGCCGCCCTCAAGCAGGTCATCTCGCCCACCGGTGGTCTAGAATTCTTTGCCAACAAGCCGAAAACAGGCATGTCACGAGGCATTGCAGCCGACGCACCGGGCCAATCATCGCTCGTCGCCGCCCAGGTTGCCCATGTCGAAGACAACCAAGGCAAGAGCCTGGGACCTGCAGCACGAGGCAAAGGCAAGGGGGGAATCGGCTTGTTCGACCAATCAAGCCACAGAAATCAGGCGGACTGCCATCCACATCAGCATGCACCCATTCAGCATGCCCCCAAGACACATATGAAAGTGCCACCTCCAACGGGCACCAGAGATGACCAAGCAAGCCCGACAGGTTTTCCTGACCTGCCGCCGCAGGATTGCCTTCGATGGCTGCCCACCGAGCGTTTCCATGTCACTGTCTGCCGAAAAGAAAGCGCACCAGTCCAGGTCATGGTCTGTCCAGGGGCCACGATTGGCCAACTATCTCAGGCAGAATCACATGTCGCAGGTCTCTCACAGCCGTTGGTCATTAAGACACTCACAGGCATCCCATTGCCTTTGAATAGCTACCTGACACCAGCCGCCTGGTATGCCATCGATAATGGAGCAAGCCATTCGATACCGAAGTGTTCCCAAGTCCATGCACAGCAGCATACCTGTCTGCCCATGAGAGGCCAAAGCCGATTCCAAGGACTCCTTCAGCAAGGCCCCTTGGTTGCAGTGGATGAGATGATCTTCTATGTGCAGTTGATTAGGAACCAGGGACACACGATTTCCGATCCGATCGTCCTTGATAGCCCTGCTGACGCTGAGCAAGCAGTAGCCATCTGGGTTTTACAATGTTTGCAAGCATTCGACATGGACCCAACCAGTCAAGTGTTCATGGTGCCACTATTGTACTTGAGCCATTGGAGCCCCTTGGCATTGCACGCCTCCACTGACAGCAAGACCCTGCTGATTTCGCAGGACCTCGAAAAGCACATCATGCCGCTGGTCACCGAGGCCATAGGCACCAGGGAGCTTGATTTTGGATCCTTTTTGATGCCATCCGAGTTTGCAGCCGACTGTGGATTCCAGACTGTCAGCTGGTTCTTTGCGCATGCCAACGGGGCAGACCATCCGAAGGCAATCATGCCAGCGCAAGCCGACCAGTGGCGGGTCCCTTTCGCCTTGCATATTTCGAGCCATCAACAAGCCATGACTACAGATATTAGGCTAGGAGGCACGATGCAACCGGACCAACTGCTATTGCAATCAGTCCTGAAGCAACATGGAGTCCATCAAGACCGATTGGCCACTTGTGCCTCGAGTCTCATCCAACAGTTAGGATCCGAAGCCATCTCAAAGGCCCTGGGGAGCTCCCAGCCATGGAAAGACCTCAAAACACAGGCCACTCAGGCCTCTCCACCAATCAGGATCGTCCTGGCCTCCGAGATCGATGCAGCAGTCAAAGCCAGGCTGGCTACGGGGAAGCCAATGGGCACAAAAGCCAACAAGAAACAGGCCACCAAAGGGCCCAAACCTCAGGTCATTCCGACAGCTGACCAGATCAAGCTGCCAGATGCCATTTTCGCTCAACAAGATGGACAGAAGTTGCCTTCGATCCCGCTCCACAGAGTCGAAGCCCATTCGCAAGGGGTCGCGCTTTGCAATATCAATGAAGTGATTCATTTCTTGAGTCTCACAGCCCCCATCTCTAGCGAAGGGGTTGCCTTGTTGATCCTTGACCATGCCGACCCCCGCCTGCCAGCTCAGGTGGAGCACATCCGCGTCCCAGCTATGTCAGCCACTAGTGGGGAACCCATGCTGGTTTCGGCAGCGTTGCTTCAGTTAGGAGCCAAGAAGGTCATACGACATGTGCCCACCGAGAGCTTTGCGCTAGAAGAGATCCAGACTCGTGTGCTCAAAGTGTTGGTCTATCAGGATGAATGGAATGGGTCTTGGGCCACCTTCCTTCAACATCCAGTCAGGGCCATTTTTGAGCATGGGCTGATGAGACACCCTGACTTGCCTCAGACTGAGCATATCATTGATGTCTGGGATAGGCAGACCTTAGATTCCAAGATGGCCCGAGCACAAGCCAGTCAGGCCGAGGTTTTCGCGTTCCTGATCCGGGTCACCGACCGTTTCGCCGACCACATCATCCCAGGAGCTGCCGTGGACGGGATCTACTTAGAGCCCCGTACTCTCGATGGACGAAAGCCGGACCCGAGTTTCAGGGTAATCTGGATGCCAAAGCAAACACTGGCCCAAGTCCGCTTGGCCAGAAGCCAAACAGAGGCCAAGACTACGATAGTTCGCATGGGCAATCGATTCGGGCTCCGGGTTGACAGCCGCCAGGCTGAGCAAGTGCACATGCAACATAGGCCCGACCTTATGTTCTTGGATGGAAGTGAGCTACGCCCATACAAAGTCGGCCCTTTCCCCTATGGATCCACGAAGGCCTCGATCTCCAAAGGGTTCAAGCACCTGGGTTGGAACGCCAGGCCAGTTCAGCCGATTTCGCAAATGCAGGTCCAAGAAGGCATTTTCTGGCAGGTGACGGCAGCGCAAGAGCCGACCCACTGGATCTACCAAATGAAGCATGGTGACATATTGATCGCCAAGTTCGAAGACCAGAAGGAATCCACATTGCCGACTGTGAAAAACATCATCGCATCCAAGCAGACCATCTCCAAGCTGGCGAACAGCCAACAAGAGATGCAAACCGACCCATGGCTCAAGGGTGATCCATGGCAAGCGCATTCGACAGGTCGCAAAACCACCCAGTTGCCGCCTGCTCCCACTGTCACGCCCAGCCAGTTGGCTGCTTTGGAGCAACGTCTGGAGCAGAAGATTGCCGCCTCCAACAGTGAGGCAAAAGAAGAACCGATGCAAGTCGACCAGACTTCCCGCATCGTGGCCCTAGAACAGCAAGTGAGCTCGCTGACCCACAGTTTTTCGGCGTTCCAAGGCCAGCAAGCTAAGATCAATCAACAAATCGCCAGCCAGCTACAGGGATTTGAGGGCCGGATTGATTC